ATGCATAAATCTAGTCGCAAGCGCGTAAAATCCGTGGCCCAACATGATTGCGCAACGATAGTTGGCTAAAACTTCTCCGTTTGATTCACGGCGCTGACACAAACGTAGATCGTTAAACTTAGGCTTGAAAACTATTAAAATCCTTCTAAATAATCTGTCACAGGGAAATAGAAAGAGCGTGGGAGGGAGAGAGGGAGGGCGAGGGAGGAAGGGGTAGATCGGTAAACTTAGGCTTAGAAACTATTAAAATCCTTCTAAACAATTTGTCACAAGAAAATAGGAAGATCGAGAGAGGAAGGGGTAGATCGGTAAACTTAGGCTTGAAAACTATTAAAATCCTTCTAAATAATCTATCACAGGGAAAATAGAAAGAGCGTGGGAGGGAGAGAGGGAGGAAGAGGGGGGAAGAGGTAGATCGGTAAACTTAGGCTTGAAAACTATTAAAATCCTTCTAAACAATCTACCACAGGGAAATAGAAAGAACGAGGGAGGAAGAGGGGGAGAGGGAGGGCGAGGGATGAAAGGATAAATCGGAAAAATTAGGCTTAAAAACTATTAAAATTCTTCTAAACAATCTATCAGAAGGAAATAGAAAGAGCGAGAGAGAGAGAGAGAGAGAGAGAGAGGGAGAGCGAGGGAGGAAGGGGTAGATCGGTAAAATTAGGCTTAAAAATTATTAAAATCCTTCTAAACAATCCGTCTTAGGGAAATAGAAAGAGCGAGGGAGGAGGAGAGGGGGAGAGGGCGAGGGAGGAAGGGACAGATCGGTAAATTTAGGCTTAGAAACTATTAAAATTCTTCTAAACAATCTATCAGAAGGAAATAGAAAGAGCGAGAGAGAGAGAGAGAGAGGGAGGGAGGGAGCGCGAGGGAGAAAGGGGTAGATCGGTAAATTAGGCTTGAAAACTATAAAAATCCTTCTAAACAATCTATCAGAGGAAAATAAAAAGAGCGAGGGAGGAAAAGAGGGGGAGAGGGCGAGGGAGGAAGGGGTAGAGAAAAAAGTGTCGAGAATTTCAGTAAAACTGGGTTAGGTCTGGATTATGCACGAGTGCTGTTATACTTGGGTCAGGGTCGAATTGGATCCGCCCAAGCATAAGTTAGGCTTGAGTTTGATTAGAATTAAGATCACGGCGGATGGTTCGTTCGGTCGGGCGTCGGTACGGATTTCGCGAAACGCGTAACCGGGGATGATCGAGTTTAGGGTGGTTTCTTAGGCTTGTATATCATCGAGCGCATCTGATTCGGTGGCAGACGCCGCCGGCCGTCGTTTGAAATTCGGCGAGACTCTGGAATTAGGGGATCCCCTGTTAGGGTTTCGAGATCTCCACGGCCGGAACAGAGTCGGATTTGTCTTAGGTTAATTGAATCTGACACGGGGGTAGGTTAGGTTCCGCCTCGAATCGGAGTCGAGTCAGAGTTGAGACCGTGATCCGAGTTTCTCTGTGTGACCGGAAACCGACGTGCTAGTCCTGTTCGCGAGTTGCAAACGATCTCGACGAAGTGCGAACCGCGGCTGGTTGCGTCTGCTCGTTCTACAGTAATGTCTAATTCCTTGTCATTAATATTTAAGCATTCGAGTAAATTTAAACGCATTATAAGCATCAATTTTCCTTTCCCTCCTAAGAGTTTCTAATACTAAAAAACTATTTTTGTTAAGAGTTTCTAAGTTTCTAATCGCAGTGACTGCGAGGAAAATGGTATGTCAAGGGGTTAAACTTTTCACGAGTTCTGGAATATTGAAAGGAATTAATATTCCTTATATATATTTAATAGAGTGCGGATCCTTGCGAAAAGAAAGCAAAGAATTGGATTTGTGCAGAATCGGATTCGTCGCTTTTTATTTTCGGACTGCGAATACAATTTCATTTGTTGTTCGATTCGAACGTTACGTTCTGTTATCCCCGAAAGAAGAAGCGACTTTTATTAACCCCTTGCCACACTTTGACGAGCCTAACTCGTAAAAATTTCTAGTAATAACTGATTGAGTGTAAATTGTTATTCTGTCCTTTAAAAGTGGAATAAAATTCTAATTCCTTGTCGTTAATATTTAAGCATTCGAGTAAATTTAGGCGCATTATAAGCATCAATTTTTCTTTCCCTTCTAAGAAATGATTGAAATCGAAAAGTTTCTAATCGCAGTGCCTGCGAGGAAAATGGTACGTCAAGGGGTTAAACTTTTCACGAGTTCTGGAATATTAAAAGGAATATTATAAATAGAGTGCGGAACCTTGCGAAAAGAAAGCAAAGGATTGGATTTGTGCAGAATCGGATTCGTCGCTTTAATTGTCGGACTGCGAATACAGTTTCATTTGTTGTTCGATTCGAACGTTACGTTCTCTTAGAAATTCTGTTATTTTCGAAAGAAGAGGCGATTCTTATTAAACTTTTCCCGAGTTCTAGAATATTGAAAGGAATGTTATAAATAGAGTGCGGATCCTTGCGAAAAGAAAGCAAAGGATTGGATTTGTGCAGAATCGGATTCGTCGCTTTAATTGTCGGACTGCGAATACAGTTTCATTTGTTGTTCGATTCGAACGTTACGTTCTCTTAGAAATTCTGTTATTTTCGAAAGAAGAGGCGATTCTTATTAAACTTTTCCCGAGTTCTAGAATATTGAAAGGAATATTATAAATAGAGTGCGGATCCTTGCGAAAAGAAAGCAAAGGATTGGATTTGTGCAGAATCAGATTCGTCGCTTTAATTGTCGGACTGCGAATACAATTTCATTTGTTGTTCGATTCGAACGTTACGTTTTATTAGAAAAAACCGCGAACCGCGGTTGGTTGCGTCTGCTCGTCCTACAGTAATGTCTCCCTAATTGACGCTCGGATTGTCCACAAAACTGGACAATTTGGGAAAAGAAGCCTTGCGAATTCGAGCCTTGCGATTCGTTTTTATAGTTACCGATTTTCAACGATTATAAAAACGAGCTGCAAGGCTCGAATAATCGTATCTCCTCTTCCAAAATTGTCCATTTTTCTGCACAATTTCGGCGTCAATTAGGGAGACATTACTGTGTCTCGCCGCGATTCTTTCGCGTATGGTGCAACTGCTCAGATTCGCAGCGCGTTATTAACCCTTTGCACTCGAGTGGTGACTCCGAGGCAGCGCTAAAATCGATCGTATCACGATCATTTTCATATCGACAAAGTTTAAATTTAAAAAAATATTGTGTCATAAAAAAGAAATAACAAAAGAAATTATTAAAAAAAGGATTGTTATAAAATGCACCTTGTCGTATATAAAATGGAAATACTATAAGTCGGAGAAATTATTTTAGATTTACAGTGAAAATAGCGTCGAGTGCAAAGGGTTAATATTATTACGTATCGATAAGCCAGACCGTCGTTGCTACTCATCGAGCAAGAAAGGTTCGCGTTAACGAAGATTCGGAAGATTTCAATTTTGCTTATAGAAAAATTATGCAATTCGTCGTTACAATTTCTTCCCGCGAACGGTTAACAATTAAACAGTTACAGCCGAGCTTAATGCGTTGTTTAAAGATACATCCGGTCCGCGTTCGGTCTATTAACCCCTTGGCATACCATTTTCTTTGCGGTATACTGCGACTAGAAATTTCTCGATTGCAATCATTTCTTAGAAGGGGAAGAAAATCGATGCTTTTCGCGTGCCTAAATTTTGCTTAAATGCTTGAATATTAACGGCAAGAGATTAGAAATTTTCTCGCAATTTTAAGGGACAGAATAATATTTATATATATATTCGATAAGTTATTATTAAGTTATTACTTAATTATATATATAATAAATAAGTTATAATTAAGTAATAACTTAATAATAACTTATTGAATATAAATATTATTCTCTCCCTTAAAATTGCGATAAAATTCTAATCTCTTGCCGTTAATATTCAAGCATATATATTATTTATTATATATTTTATAACTTATTATTATTATTATTATTATTATTATTATTATTATTATTATTATTATT